GCAGGCCGGCGCTCAGCCACCGAGCCGCCCCGGCAGCGCGGGGCCTCGTTTCTGCGGCGGTCACTGCTCTTGCCCCTTTGTTCTCCTCGAGAATGAGCCACTTCCCTGGAAAACGGGGGACCCAAACCGCCGGCTGCCCCTCTGCGTGCCCGCGTCCCCCAGGCCCCTCTGCCTCTCCACGTTTGCTCCCTGGGACCCAGGAAAGGAGTAGCAATTGCACGGGAGCAGCAGGAACGTGTGTGCATGTGTGTGTGCATGTGTGTGTGCGTGTGTGTGTGCGTGTGTGTGTGCGTGTGTTCACCCTTCAGCCACTGCTTTCCTGATGAAACTGCTTCTAAATGCATTTCGGGTGTGAGCTGGAGGCTCTTGTCCTGGCGGCATTAGGGCCCAAGGGAGCCCTGTTCTGGATGCTTCTCTCCCACCTCCTAACAGAACCGTTTCCGCACTGATGCCAGACGGTTGGCTAGAATCCGCAGACACAGCGCGCTCCGTGCCGCAAGGTTTGGTGGCTGCGCTCCTGGCACTTGGCTAAAACAGCCTTTTCTCCCTTTTCCTCAAAATTTTGCTTAACAGGTTCCATGGTTAATGTAATCCTTGCAAAGTACAGCAGTGCCGATGCTGAAAAAATGAGCGCAGGGCCACTGCCCTGGTTGTTGGCACTGGGCTAATCCCGCGACATGAATTGTCCCGTTTAATGCNAAAATATATATATATATATAAAACCCCCTGGGATCTAAGCCCTCAGGAGCCTGTAAGGCCTTTCTGACTGGGTGAAAATGGGGGGTTGTAAGCAAAGGGAAAATTCAGAAGAAAGAAGAGCAGGGTTCTGGTGGGCTCTGTGACTCAATCGCCCACCAGTCTGCTGAGCCACTTCCTCAAGCATCATTGTTTCTGTTTGGTTTGGCTCAGCGATTTGGAAGCTAGGTTTTCCTTTATGAAAAAAAAAAATCAAAAGTAAAAATAAGTGTTTGACATCGTGAAGGTTGGGCCACGTTTAATGGTGTGTCCAGCGTCTGAAGCTATCCGGGTCCAGGCTGGGGCGGCGGGGCAGCCGTGGTTACACCGCGTTCCTCTGTAGGAGCTGGTCCAGTAGTTGCTACGGGAGCAGGAGACGGAGCCGTCGGGCCAGAGCGGCGTCTGTGCGCCACTCACACACACGGCACACACATGACACAGCACACACAGTACACACACGGCACACACATGACACAGCACACACAGCACACACAGCACAGCATACAGAGACACACATGCCACACACATACACACATGCCACACACATCACACGTGCGTCACACAGAGACACACACGTCACACACGTCTTTGTCGCACACGCGTCACACACAGAGAGACACACATGTCACACGTATGTCGTTGTTTCACACACAGGTCACACACAGAGACACACACGTCACACACACGCCTTGCACACACACCCCCGCGTCTCACACACCGGTCACACACGCCGTGCCGGCCCGCGGCCGGGCCTGACCTTCTTGAAGACCTCGGCGCGGAGCCTGTTGCTCTGCAGCACCACCCGCCTCTGCTGCTCCTCCTTCCTCCTCCTCACCTCCGGCAGGTTGTTGTAGATTCTGAAACAGACCCAGACACTCGGTGAGCGGCAGTGGGACAGCGCGTGCCCGTGGGGACCCTGCCCGGCCGCCGGCGGGCGCCCCCGTTTCAAAGCAAAACTCCGTGGCCCGCGGGCCGGCTGGCGTCTGCGAGGCCCTGGACCC